TAAAATCACTTATTACGTTTGCGTGCATAATCGTTTTAGCATACAACACCTTTTAGGGTCAAATGAACACTTGGTGCAAAGTTGCATTTTTTTCGTTTTTCGCTTAAACTGATCTAGGGGCATTCTGGAAATTTCACAGCACATTTTAATTTTTTCTTTTGACATGGTCGGGTAGAAAACTTGATTTTAGGGGGAGTTTCTTCTTTGTGTTTTTCCAAAAAGTCTATCTTGATGCCCAAAATTGCTCTCAGTTCCAGCAAATCTCTGCTGTCAAAAAAATTTATTGTTGTTAGCCATGCATGCACCTAGCGCTATGCCCACGCGGCGCTGCCCTTGCGCACGCGCGGCACGTATGCGCGCTTCTTGTTGCCCCTTTTCTACTTTGATGTCAAATTTTCAAATGATTGTTTCTCCTTTATCCGGACTCTGTTTTTAGTGATTTTTGAGCCTAACTTGCCTAATTTTTCGTCGTCTATCCAATGGTGTACTCGGTTATACTTGGAGCTTTCTAAAAAATAACCAATTTGCCCCTAGGCCTTAAATATTTCATTTTTCGTTGTTAGGCCATAACTTCTTCGTCTGGATTCCGAATCAAGCAATTTTTGAGTCTAACTTGATAATTTTTTCGTTGTCTATCCATTGGTGTGCTCTGCAGTGCCCAAATATTTTCAAAAATTACCATTTTGCCCTTGGGGCTAAATTTTTCCGTTTTCCTTTTTAATTCGTTTCCGCTTTGCTTTCTTTCGAGTTTCGTGACTTCATAGGAAGTCACGCTTGTGTCTTAGGGATGATATAAATTTCTAGAGACGTTGTTTCCATGTAAAAAGACTATTTTGCCCTTGGAGGCTTGTTTGGTCTTTTTCTGATCTTTTACTTCCGCGTTGGTTCTCGTTGAGATCTGTGGCCTCATGGAAGGTCACTTTGGCATCTTAGAGATACATTGCATCTCTAGAGACTTGTTTTATGTTTTTGCTTCCACATTTGGATCCATTATCGGGTTAAACTTCTGTTCATCACAAGACGCACTGGCTTGAAAATCCAGGACCGTCACAAAGGTGGCACAAAAAATGGCCTTGGCATTCCAAGTGGAACTTAGCCTTGTGGTTAAGGAGCAAAAGGTCTAGGAATACCTAAGGGAACATGCATATCATTGTGTTATTGCACATTATGATGGAGTATGCCTTGTTGGTCTACATGACCAAGGTCTTTAATATGTTTTGTCTATTGATGAAATGAATTCACTTGAATTACCCCTTCCCCTTGGATTGTGCACAACTGACTCAAGATTAAGATTCAATAGAACAAGAGGGCGGTTTAAAGACCTACGACAATGCATGCACAATGCAAATCAGCACAAACAACAATCACAACAAATAGCAAATACTTCTCCTCCACAACATAAATCAATCAACAACAAGCCTCCACATACATTGATCCCATACTCCCATGCTTTTCAACAAATACAAGAAAGTAAGTTGCCTCCACATGGGCTGATGATTAATAATAAAATTGCCTCCACACAGGTTGATGATTTAAACTAAGCAAGAGGAGTTAGAAACGCTCACAAAGGGTCCTTAAGCAACTTTAAGAAATTTTTAAGCTTTTTGCTTTGCTTTTGCAATTTTATTTATTTATTTTTTTTATGCTTTGCTTGCTTGTTTTGAAGTTCCTTTACTTTGCTTCTCTTTACTCCAAGTACCTAGTCAATTTAAAAGTAACAATATGAGAAAACAAAACAAAATAAAGTAAAGCAAGGATCAAAAGAGTACTAATTCCTAATGCGGCGTTGCTAATCCCCGGCAACGGCGCCAAAAACGTGGTGTGCGCGTGACCGATACTTCAAAATGATGTAGAATGTTTGAGTGTGAGAAGTGGCCACCACATTTAGAATTTATAAAAACCACTTAACACTATACTATGTAGTATGAGTGAAAAGGGATCATCCAAAGAGATTTGCAAAATACTAAGAAATTGAATTCGGGTTAATAGGTTGAATGATCAAAGAGGGGTTTAATTGGTTGAATTAAGCTAATGATTCAATTAAAAACATGCAAATTAAGAGCAATATAAAGATTAAGGTATAGAGAATGAGAGAGAAGTCTTGAGGCATAAAGTTCACCACTAAGCTTCACTTCACTAAACATTTAACATTTGTAAATTTAGGGGGATTCCATGTTGCAAATAAAGTGTGTGTATCATTAATTGAAATACTAAGCATGGATGACAAATTAAGCATAAATTGTCTAATCAATCTAGTGAGTAGCACAACCTATCGAATTAAGCCATTAACCATTCAATAAATCCACAATTATTACTCACACAAAAATCTAGAGAAATGTACTACTTGCACTCATAAGTATGGATCATCAAACAACAAGAATGGCTTGTTTACCTATCTTAGAATTTAAAGCAACTACTCTACAACTAGACTAATGACAAGGAAATTAAACTAATTAAACTAAGGAAGTAGCACAATCCATTAAGAAATAATTATAATCCATCAAACAAACCACAAGAGTAATTAATTAAGCACCATGCCTTGACCATCACTAGATTTATAATTCTAACACACATAGACATGCATTAAACTCATAAAATCTAGTGTAAGCACATGACCATTCATTCTAGCATACATAGACATATGAATAGAAATCATGTAGAAACTCAAGATTTATATATAATCAAGGTCAAAACATTATTTACAACATAAATCCCCAAAAACTACAAAATACTAAGTTTAGGAAGCAAGCCTAGGGGCTATCTCTAACCCCAAGAGAAGGATCTAGCCACTCATGGTTGTTGTCATCCAACCCTCAAAGGCTTTCTTTAATGTAGGCACCATCTTCTTCCCTCTTTGCTTTGCTTCAAAAACCCTAATTTGGAGAAAGAAAATTATCTAAGAGCTATCTCTAAAACTTCAACAAAAGTTGTAAAAAAATTTGGAACCCTATACAATTGGTTTCATTTGATTTAAATACAAGCCTCTTTGAGCAGGCAACAAGTCAGAAAATAGGCCTTTAATTGGGGCAATCTCGCAGGTACAAAAGTTGGTGGAGTTCGGCCGTGCTCTGGAATTAGACAACTCACTGCCAGTAGGGGCTTTGATCAATCAAAGCTGGCTTCGATGGATCGAAGCTCACTTCGATCGATCGAAGATGATGTGGCAAAGATATTTTTGATAACTGGCAACCTTATCCATTGAGCTAGCATCGCCTTAATTTCGATCGATCTAAGATCTTTTCGATCGATTGGGACTTCCTTCGATCGATTGAAGCTTCACCCCTGCAGATTTTTTTGACTTCTTCTGAATTTTTTCTCGACTCCAAAAAAAGAGCTAAAAGCCTCTTTTTAACCTGTTTGAACCTTATTAACCTAAAATAGACAAAAACACAAATTAGAACTAAAACGGGAAAGTAAGATAGATGAATAGATTAAAATATTTTAACTTAGGTGCTAAAATGCATCACATTTAAGCAGTTATCATGGGTCACCCATTTTGACTCATGTTTCACCCATTATATAAGAAACTCAGTTTCACATCCTCTATTTGACTCAAATTCACCTCTTCTTCCTCTCTAAAATTCTCTCACACGATCCCAAATTATCTCTCTTCTACTCTCTCTCTAACATTATCTCTCTAAAATTCTCTCGCATCATCCTCTTTCTCTCTCTAAAATTATTTGGAGTACTATACTTTTACTCTGTTACATCCGTAATACATTGTATCATGTATTATATCTTCTCTGCTTTCCTACCTAAGGAATTCTATGGGAAGGCTTGTTAGAGTTGCATCAATATTCTTTTTTGGTTTATCTACTGCACCAAAAAAGAAAAAAAAAAAAAAGAAAAAAAAAAGAAGAACATTTACCTTCATGCATGTCTAATCATAAAATAAAATAATATAAATTTAAAGAATTTTCAAAATAAATTGAAGTATTTACAATTATCCATACATATTTTTACAAGCTTTTATACATATAAAACCAAGAACTATAATAATGAGATTGTCCAAAATAATAACATTTTTTTTCCCTAAATCGGGCTGGCGGGTCATGACGGGTTAACCCAGTCCATTTTGACTCAACTCAAATTTAACCCGCTACAAGCAAGTTGAATATGAGTCACAAGACTCACAACCCATATTTAATCTATCCATATTAGACCATGCCTAAACACGAACCAACCCGCCCGTTTGCTACCCTTACTGAAAGGAAAACTGGCCCAATTGATAAGCCCATTAAATATTGCCCAACAAGTTAAAAACTGAGTTGATACAGAGAGAACAAGTAGGCCCAACCGAATAGGCCCAACGGTAGCTATTACCTGTTTACACTGTGGAGTATTATGCCTCCTAAAATTATATTTTTCTTAAATTCTCTCTAATTCTTTTTATTTTTATTTTTATTTTTCTGTTCTTTCTCATACTCTTCTTTTTCTACTTCAATTTACTCTAATTTCTTTCAATATGTTATTTAAACTATATATTGTTTAAAATAGTCTTCCAAGTTTAACCTATATATATGATATTTCAACAAATTCCATTTTCAGACAAACATAAATGATTTTTTTGAATTTATTGTGATTAATTTTAAAAATGAAACAAATTGTATGGGACTGCCTAGGTTTATTTCGGTACCATAATCAAATCAAAGAAACAAACACAATCCCCACACCATCATTTTATTAGACATATTTCATTACACCAACGAAAATTCGTCTATTTAATATACATATACATATTTAAATAAACTACATCCTTGAAATAAAATTATGTATTATTAGAATGAGTCATTTCTACCTAATAAAAAAAATATATGATATTTTTTTAAAAATAAAGTAGAGAAAAAAAAACTCTTTGATCGGAATTCATCCTACAGTCCTACACATCAACATCATAAGTGGGAATGACTGTTTGATGTTTGTTTCTTGCCCGCGAAAATATAACAAATCAAATAGGGAGCAGTCGTTTTCAGATTTTTTTTTTCTCTGCACAGAGCAGCTTTCCCTCAACACGAAACCATTTGAAATCTCTCTTTCTCTCTCTAGATTTTGTTGCTTTGTCCATCTCTTTCTCTGTCTAGATTTTTCGCATTTTATGTATCGATTCAAACGGAATTGCCAGATAATAGATTGGTGTTCGATTTGGCTCCCAGATTCAAGCTTCCGTGTCGTGAAATGAAGATTGAGTCTTTCAGTTATAGATTCTAGGGTTTCGAAATAGTTCTTCTCCAATGGCGATTAGAGGCGTAGATTTCAAGTGGTAACTTTTGATTTTCGTAGTAATGAAGATTTCATTTGATATCTATATTTTTGTTTAACTTCTGTCAGTTTCTCATCAGTATGTCTTTTTTATATTTATTTTTGTAAGTAATTTGTCTATCACTATACCACACGCATATATATGACTAACTAATTTCTGTTCATGCAGGTACGATGGGTTCTTCTTATCTATGCTTGCTACAAGTATGTATCCTTTATATATTCAGATTGAGGGTTTTTATGATGCCAAAAGCTGTAATAAGTTTAATTTATTTATTTTATTTTTCTTTTGGGATAGCTTATAAAAGAATATTTGTACTTATTCATCTTTCTTATTGGATTTTATCTCACCATTCATTTCCTTGTGGTTGTTTGTAATTTGGACATTTATTTGAATGGTTGTGTTGATTCTTTAACTATTTAACTATTAGAACCATTGTTGCAATCAATTGGAAGCGGTACCATCTTTGTGCATACCCATTGCACATATGGATCGTGGTGAGTATCAACAATTCTTCAATGAATAAAACTAGATCTGCTAGTTCTCACTTCTGATGCTAATTTAGTCACATTGTGGTATAATGTTCATCTTTCTTTATTGGACTAGGTCGACTACACCACAGTTTTTGTTTTTCGGCTCTTGATGTTCATAGACAATGGGCTTTCAGCTGGAATGGGATTGTAAGGTCTTCCATCTTGGGCTATTGAGGTTATTGTTAATTTTGTTGTAAATGTACATTGTTTGTTACATAATGGACGTATCACCGTGAACTTCTAAGCCGATTATGTTTTGGCTTATGTTTTTAAACGATTAGTTGGTAATTTTATTTTTCAAAATCTTCACAATTATATGATCAAGAGGTAAAACTTTTTTGCTTTCCTTCTGTACAATCCCATTGTTCTATGATATCACTGTAGTAGATCCCTTTTCTTACTGGTTAAGGTTAAGATTCTTTATATATATATATGTATAATTTTTAATAAGTAATTTCTGATTAAGACTTTTGTTTCTGGCAGTATGTTTTGATTGTCAATTTTAAAATTGCTTTCAGATCTTTTTTAGAGTACCTATACAAGGGTTTGGATTATTTCTTTACTTAGACCCCTAAATACATCTTATATATACTGGAATTGCATATAATCTTTTCACTCATATTCAGTTTAATGGTATGGTGTTAGGGATTTTGGGTGGCAGCAGAGATATGCGCGCTTTTGTGGAAGAATAGTGGTGCTTTCGATACTTTGTCTGCTACTTTATCCGTTTCTTTGGGCTTGGACTATTATTGGTACCTTATGGTTCACTAAGGCAAGAAACTGTGTAAGTTTTGCATTTGTTGTTTTCAATTTGTGGAGATGTTGTAATCTATAAACAATCTGAAAATGAAGGTAATGCATTAAAATGCTCACAGTTGCCGGAAGAAGGTCAGAAATGGGGATTTCTTATTTGGTTGCTTTTCAGCTACTGTGGACTCCTTTGCATTGCTTGCTTGTCTTTCAGGAAGGTTAGTGGGGCTTTCTTTACTTCCTCTGTTTGTGTGTGCGCGTGTATTTTTATAATAAATTCAACTGGCCTTTCCCCCAAGGACTTAAGGTTCTTCTTCCCCCTTCCCCCTTCTCAAGGATTCTGTATTTTTTATTTCTCATGGTTCTCTTTGTCGAACGTTGGCCATAATGAAGATATTCTTCAATGATTTGTTTTTTGTTTTTGTTTTTATTTTAAATAATATATACGCCCTTTTGATCTTTATTTTGCAGTGGTTAATGCGAAGACAAGCTCACATGCTACGTGCTCAACCGGGGATTCCTATTTCAGAATATGGGGTAAGTTAAGAAATTTTTTTTGCTTCATCATTTCGTGGATTTTTTTTTTCCTACTGCTTATTTATGAGTGGCTTTTATATTATGTGCAATCCCTAAGTATTATTCACTTGTTATCTTATAATAAATATCAAAGTGAAATGTATCTTCAATAGACATGCAAGTAGATTTTGAAAGCAAAAATATATATATATTTGATTGTTATGTCCATTTTTTTTTTTTTTTTTTTGTAAAACCAATTCCTTAGAGCTGTTTAATATAAAGTAGCTGCAAAGGTGTATAGGTTCTTGCCTTGCCAATATATATATATATTTTCCAAACCTATTCCTTAGTCTGGAAATAGCTGCATGATATTTGATGCTTATCCTGCCAGTGACATCCAATGCCAATAATGACGATTTGTGACCAATTTGAAATGTAGAACTTCTTACGTTTCTTTCTGAACTCTAGTGGTACTCGCAAAAGGGCTTGAATCTAGTAAGCCACACATCATGAATAATTATCATAAGGAATGAAATTACTTTATTTTTTATTTTTTATTTTTATTTTTGTGTTTTCTTTCCTGGGGTTGGTGATAGCAAAATCGCCACACTTGGTTCATTTCCATGCGCATAATTGTTACTAGTTTATAAATAATGGGTATTTAAGAGAGCATTAAAATATTGTTGTGACATTTCCAAGTATATTAGGTGAGAAATAAACTAGAGACGTTAAGAGATAGTAGGACTGTAGGAAACGTGTAGCAGTTCGAGTGACAAAGGGCCCTCAAGGGAGTGGCCTCCCATGCACTCTCTTCTTCTTTGTTAATTAAAAATGGGCATTTTTAGGAGAAATAATTGTGACTTACAAAGCATAAAATGTGGAAAAGAAGCTAGAGATATTAAGAATTGTGGGATCTATGTAGTACAAAAGGGTGACAAAGGGCCCTTGAGTGAGTGCATATGATTTGTCGAGGTAGTTCCTATTAATTTTAAATCCTAACATCCTTAACATTATCTGGTTTCCAGTGGGGATCTTACAGTGTGATTTGAACCTGGATGAGGTTCTGACCATAAGTTTTTTTCGAAGTTTCTGACTATAAGTTGTAAAAATGGATTTGTTAATTTTCTAGGATTCTTAGGAGTTTTTTTTTTTATTTCATATGCATCACTGTCAAAGTATTTGTCAAAAAAAAAAAAAATACATCACTGTCAAAGCAATCCGACAAAAAGGCCAGGTCCAACCGGTTTTGCAGAAATTGAGGGAATAATTCTCGAGGCTGCGACAATCATTTCCATGCTGTAGATTGTATGAGCTGATAAGCTATTTATGTTTTTCATTGACCACTCATCTAAAATAAGAGTCGTGAAGAACTGAAAATTGTAAATCATCTGAGACAAACATTATCTCAACACTTCTTGCATTATTGAATCAATGAATCTATAATTTAGAGAAAATTACTTTTGCTATTTGTTTCAAAGACTTAACATTGCCAATGATTTGTCGGGGTTTCACATTTTTATCCATCACAAATTCTTGTTCTTGTGAAGAAATTAATCATGAATGATTCTAGTCTTTGACTTGGAAAGTTCGTACTTGAAATTTGTTCAATAAGCACCGCTAATTACGAAAGGACATCTAAAGCTAAATTGCTAACACCATCAAGGCTGATTACAGATATTTGAAAGGGGCAGTAGGTATCATACCTGTTGAACTGCAGTCAACCTACCTTTTCTTGTTGAGGTCAAATATGAAAATCGCACATAAGGGAAGACACAAACCCTGCCTTTGGATTTAGTTATTTTAAGAGGTCAAGACTGGGTGTTGGACCATAAAAGATCTTTTTTAAGTTTCTAGGGCTTGGAAAGCTGATTTGAACATGACCATCAAAAGAATTCATGAAACAACTCATTAAACATGTTGAGTAATTGTAATTTCGTATTACTACCTACTCAAGACCAGGAAAATGTGCATGCAATGGTTTTAGTATTTGACTCAATTTCATTTTAACGAGTCTTTGAGGTATGTATTCTTTGTTTTGTTAATTAAAAGTCTCCTTATCTCCCATGTTGAAGGGGACACTTAATTGTGTTTTGTTATTTTATCCCATGGAGGAGCAGATGGTATAAATAGTAATGTTCTCCAACTGTGACATCACTGCTTCTAAGTGATTATTCTGTGCGTTTTGATGCAATTTTTTGTCCTCATATCATGATTGTAAAGATTGATTCCTCATTTCAGGTGTTGGTTGACATGATCCGGGTACCAGATTGGGCATTTGAAGCTGCTGGCCAAGAGATGAGAGGGATGGGCCAAGATGCTGCTGTATACCATCCAGGGCCTAACTTGACTCCAACTCAGGTAACAATTTGCCTTTGTTTTTCTTCTTTTGATAAGTACAAGTGCACAACACATGCAACTGTGTCCCAATTTGAGCTTGAATTCTGCTACTCTCCTTGGGAGGTGGTAGGAGATACTGCTCAAGCTAGAACTCGTGTTCCACCAATTTTTAGTGCGATTTTATGTTACGGTATTTGGCTGCCATATGAAACCCATGTAATAGATAATAATTTTAAAAAGATTCAGAGTTTGAACCAATATATAAGGAGTTATTTTAGAAAGTAAACAAATTTAGAAAGCTGGAAGCACACGTTTCGTATCCCATGAAATACCCTACAAATGGAGGAATTGAAACAGCATTTTGCACTAGTTTGTGCATTAGTTAATATTCTCATTGATTACCATTTGGAGGTGTACGAGTTGCAATCCTCTCTTTGCCTTTAACCATATTCTTTACTTTTGTTTTTTCAAAAAAAAATATTAGGGAAAAAAAAAAAATTCTGAAAGCCTTTATTACGAACTACAATTTTACCATCCTTTTTGTCAGTTTTGATTTTTGATGTTTGGGTTTTCTTTTTTGGCACATAGAGAGAAGCAGTGGAGGCACTCATTCAGGAACTTCCGAAGTTCAGGTTGAAGACTGTTCCTACGGATTGCAGTGATTGTCCCTTCTGTTTAGAAGAATTCCATGTGGGGAAAGAGGTAAATATTTTCCTAATCCAAGATATAATCATCCAAACACTGCAGCTTTCAGGATTCATCAGGTTTTTTATTCCCATCATTTGGTATTGGTTCATAAATCCTTTTTTGCTATCTATATATATATATATATATATATATATATATATATATTGTATAGGGATGGCCTTCCACAAGTTTTTAAAGCAGTAACATAGTTATAAAATGGTGGGTTTCAATCTCCTGAAAATCCCCCTTCCCCACCCAGGCTCAAAAACATACACAAATGGAAGTTACCCTCTTTAGAATCACCCATAATACAAATAAACATACTTGCACCTATTTCTAGCCTTATTTTGTGGCATTCGAACCCAATTCTCACGAGGTATCTCGCAGGTTCGTGGCCTTCCTTGTGCTCACAACTTCCATGTGGAATGCATTGATGAGTGGCTCCGACTGAATGTGAAATGCCCCAGGTGCCGTTCTTCGGTCTTCCCAAACCTTGACCTCAGTGCTCTATCTAACGTCCATGCTGATTCTGAACGTTCATCGGCCAGTGTCATGGCTACAACCAGATATGTGAGAACCCAACCACCCAGCCAGAGCTATCTGTTGAGATTGCAGGGTTTGCTCCGTTCAGTCCATACAGAAAATGCAGGGTCAGGTGCTGATGCAGATGTTACCTTGGAAATGGCTGAGAATGGAGGTCTGCCAGTGCAAGTCAGAGCCGCACTAACCTGGAACCGGAACATCTTATTTAACGTGTACATACTGTTCACTCCATCCCACCGTAACACTAGATTATTTCTTGGACTCTCTCTTACAGATTTTACTTCATATTCTAACTACGTGTTCTTGGAGAAGCTAAAGTTAAAGATTGTCCATCCCTGGTCGTTGCTCCATAGTTTTACTGTTAATTCATCACAAAGAATTCCATAGTTTTTGCTTGTAATGTTCATGGACAAAAAGTTGGTACCTTCATTTTTCTTTTTCCTTGTTTCTTTTTTTCCAGCCCGTGGACTTCGAACCTTGTGTCATTATATGATTCATTGGGACCAATGATCCGGGACCGTACAAATAATTTCATATAGTTCAATTGTTTCTTTTCTATCTTCTAAAGTATAACATATAAGACTCAAGTTGTGCTAGTGATAACAAAATAATGTGAGTTCAATGCCATTGATTCCATTTTTATATAGTTTTCTCAATTTTTTTATTTTATTTTTTTCTTTTTTTTAATTATTGTTATTATTATTATTTTTGTATGAATGTTAAATTTCATAGTGGGGAACATATAGCTCTATCCAATTTGAGCCCAGTGACACAATATTCTCTATCAAACACCAAGAAAATTAAAATTGTTTAGATGTTGGATCTTCAGTTGAAGTTGATCAAACACAATGAAACTCCATGTTCTTAACTGAGGGAGCACAATATAATTTGAGGTGAGTTTCCTCTTGTTGAGATTTATATGCCTTGGCATAGCAAATTCCTATTTGGATTATACTGACATATGTTCCTGACATATCTGAAATATTTATGATTTATATAATTGACGAATTCAATGTATTATGTTTCGATTCATTATGGAATTGATAGTGTCCACTTGATTATAAGAAATATTTATATATGTATATGATGGCGATCGATATATGAATATAAATAATAATCATAAATTATTCATAGTCGGTAATTATGGATGAACTCATTATTAACTAAGACTTGAACTGGATCCGCGTTAGGTTGAGATATATTGTTAGAGTCGTCGTATGCAATTGCTCTTTATCACTGTCATGACATTTGACTCTTAAGCATGAGAGAAGTATAGACTCTTTTATTAATTAGTAATTACTTTAATTTGTTCGACAGAATCTTCGGAATCCATAGACCGACATTTTGGGTAATTATGTAATTAATAGTTAAAGGATTATATTTTCAATATTTGCATCATTAATACTTGTATTTATATTGTATTGATTATGATTGATCACAAAGTAAATTCAAAGGTCTTCGTGTGTTTTTAGATAAAATGATTTATTATATATATATTTATTTAAATTATTATTTTTGTCAAACAAATGTTTTATTGTAATCAAATCGGAAATAATCAAAGGTACCAAAATAAATATATTAATTAAGTAGTTAGATTGATGACTTTATTTATCCGATAACTAATTATGCATAGAGGGGTCAAAGTGCAACATTGACTTAGAGGTTATTTATTATTTAATTGGATTTCAATTAATTTCTTTTAGTGGAACAGAAATTAATTTATGAATTAATTGAATTGGGTTCATGGATCGGACCAATTATTCATTCATTGTAGCCAAGAAAATAATAAGTCCAAAGGATTCTTACTCATAGCCCAACTTGATATTGGAATCCTATTAGATTTGAGATATGTGACTTAGAGATTGAGAAGGATTTAGTGTTTCATTTCCTTATATTTATGTTGCCTATATATACATGGTCCATATATATTTTATGGGTGACTTTTGGAAGAAAAATGAATATATTTTCTCTTTTTAGAAATTTGGGATTAGTGTTCTCATCTAATGGAGGCTTTCACAAGCCTAATTTTCCAAGGTCTTTCATGGAGGCTTATGGGTGATTCCTAAAGGTAAGACCATTATCAAGAAGATGGAGATCCAAGGAGAAGGCATCTACCAAAGGGATCTACAATAAGTGAGAACATTCACTTTAGAGGAGAGATCTAAGGTTTACTCAAACCTTTGATGTAAGTATTCAATCTAATGATTGAATGTTACATCATATTTTTTTGCATAAAACTTGTCTCTATGTGATGAATCAAGATCTATATTTGAAAATCCCTTAAAAAGTTTTTTAAAACTTGCACATTTCCCAACAGTGGTTTCAAAGCATGGTTTGATTCATTACTAGAGATCATGTTTTTTTATGAAAATCATCATTCATGGATCCAAATTATATATGCATATATATATTTATTGATGTATGATTTAATATGTTGATATATATTGATACATGATGATGATGTATGTATAATTTGTAACGACCCAAATCGGGGGTCCAGATCGCTAAACTAGTTCTTAACCAAACCCGAGGACACACTAGGGGCAAATCAGTCATTTTACATTTTTAGAGGGTAATGCATCCTTAAAATTATCAAATGAGGTTTGAAATAATCATTCTTAATCATTTCATGACACTTGAAGAGGTTTCATGGTCATTGGATGTGATTTCCCAAAAGTACCCTTACCGGTTCAAGACAATTTCCGACACTACTCTACTAAAACAATTATAATTCTCAACATGAATGGAATTTGGGGATGAGGCTTGTCTCATTGGAAAGTTAACTCAAAATCCTTGAAAATGGACTCAAGAATGACCCTATTTGGGTTCCGACCGCATGAGGTCAGGTGATCAAAGCTGGTAGGCTATCAAGGCAAAAGTGACCCACTGGAGGACTTGAACCGGTTCAAGATGGGCAGTAAGCCCATTCGAGAACAATTGCAACCCCTTGAACCGGTTCAATGGGGCTGAACAGGTTTAAGATATCCAGAACCCTGAAAATGGCCAGAAAGCTCAAAATTTAAGTCTTATGCTGCTTGACACCACTTTGGTCTTTTAGTGACCTTACACAAAGCCCAAACCTGTTTCAATTCTTCCATTTGATGATAAAACTAACACAACTAAGTGGTACTAAAATCAAATAAGGCCATATATGAGTCCGATACACCATTAAAATTAAGTGAAAACGTCATACATAAAAAATATAACCTTAAGGCCTTACATGGATGTTAAAATCAAATTGAGACCACAAAATACAATGAATGGTCTCAAAACCATTTCCAAACATGTAGAAGATACCAAATGTCCTCTAATATTATTTACAACAAAATGGGTTAACATACACTTCGAACACAAAAATTCCAAGTCTGTCAACTTTATTAAGCTGGTGGTGGATTATCGTCCGCCACTTCTTGACCGTACCCTGAAAAATGTTAAATATAATGGGGTGAGCAAATTGCTCAGTAGGTGGTGCCTAGGACATACCTCTTGTAACCCCGTGAATCTAAATAATGAATAAAAATAGAGGATAGGGGTCATGTTATGCCGGAAAAGAATATAACATTAATTTCAATTTCAGAATAAACAATGTCGTGCCATGATATGTGATGCCATGTATGTCGCTCCCCATTTTCAAAATCCAATTCCATCCATTTTTCAAACTGTTAATATAACCCATCCGTTGGTGACTTTGCAGCGACATGAGAGAATGATTGGTTACTGTCCCTGACCCTTGATACCCCCGTGGCTTCATTTGGGGCCAGCTAGCTCAACCACGCTAGGGAAATCTCCCTAGTTCTCTCTAGGTTACATTAACACACCGGCCCTTTGGTGACTCCGCGGCGACCGGGTTTTTCTTAAAATCATTTAATTAAACTTCTTCCCCAAAAATCCCTTTCTTTCCATTTTAAAACAACTTTCCCATTTTTCCTTACCCATTGTTGTGCATGAATGCATCATGCTATTCCATGTCATGCCATTATCCATCTTCATACACCAAATTTAAGCTCAAATCACACATCATAATTTTTCAAGAAATCCCAAGAGAATATCATGCTTTCACAATATAAAATTTGGCAAATTCTAAATACAATAGGCAAGGAAAATTACTAATTAAGCATGTTAATTTGCACAATATCAACTACACACAAAATCACATACTTCATATACACAACATATACATCATCTTCAAGGCAATTGATTCAAAATTAAACATGTTTTACAACAAATATTGAGGGATAATTCACAAAGGAACAAGAAAACATAAATTAGGGACCCCTAACTCAATCTAAGCAAAAAGCCCCAATTTTGAGCCCAAGATTCCAAATCTCCTAGTGTGCACCAAACACGAAATTGCTCCGATCAACTTGTAGATCTCGTCGTGAGCTTCGAATTGCAGCAAACGGCACTAAAAAATACCAAGTATTTCAAGAGAAATCAAGATTGGAAGTTTGAAACCCAAAAGAAAGAAAAAAGAAACATCTAGAATGGGGGAGAGAGAGTCCAATGGGAGTGAGAGGAAAAAGGGGAAGAAATGTGACCAAAAATGTCTCTTTGTCTCTCTTAAAACACTAATGTGGGCCCCACCAATTTTCCTTTTTTCAATATATACCACATACACATATAAATACACATTTAATTCACAATTACTTATTACACATTAAATAAAATAACTATGATGTAAATGGATCCAACTAAATTCCCCGTACTCGACAAGTCCAGTAGTGGGTCCCACACGGGACTGTCCGGCCCGAAAAGCTGAAAAATGTAAAAAAGATCACCCTAACATTTCAAAGAGTTCTGGACTCAATGAAATACCCTAACCAACTCTAGGACACAACCGACACACTCCACAGTGTCCGGTACGAAAAACGGCAAAAGACGAAAATGCCCTCGAAAAATCAGAAAATTCCAAAAATTAGAAAATGGCAAAAATTAGAAACATCACAATCTACCCTCCTTAAAGAGATTCGTCCTCGAAATCTACCCTCCTTAAAAGAAGGAGGCCCACAGCCACACACTTTTTGAGAACACCTCACAAAACCCCGAGACTAAGAACTCAACAACCATATTGCTTTTGACACCGACGCCAACAGGCAATCACACTCTGCTTCCAGAAAACCCAATGATCACCACCCTATGGGGGTACTCATCACTCACAACATCATACACAAAACCCGTTAAATTCTACACTCGACTTAAAACTAACACTGGTCCTCGCTACACTGCTACACAAGGTTAGAAAGGAGACTAATCACAAGACCCCTGAACATGACAACATCCTATCTCAACCCATCCCTTTAAAGGACACACAAGTCCTAGACAAGAGCCCTATCCACCACATAATCAGACTCAAACTTAGATCTACACCTCTCAGTCAGACTAACACTTGCCATCCAACATACGGCTGTACGACTACATAATCATACAACAACCACCAACCACACCAACCGGCAATCATTATACTGATCAACCTCAAGATAACTAGATAATGAATCTCCCGACGACTACATAATCATGAGTCACCAAAATAATTAAACAGATCATCTTGTACCCAAGTCACAAATCCTCAAAACAAGATCTTCAATAATCAATGATTGTACCACAAACCCCATTATCGGACACTTGGTTTTACCTAGCACACCTCGTTACCCGAGACAACCACCTGAATCCACACCATCACACTTACACAACACCCAATATCGTGCTTTCACTATCCCTGACAAATTGAAATAATTATTGACCTTTGACCCGACATCATGCTAAAGAGGGATTGATTCAAGAGAAATGGTTGGCCAGGCCTTTCTCATCCTCAATCCAGCCTCGACACAAACATCGTTCTTGTCCTCTGGTCCAAACCTCAAACACAGTCTCATACAG